CCGGGCCCGCCCCCACCCCCTGGCCCCCCAGCCTCTGGCAGGGTAAGACGGGGCTGAGAGGATGCAGGGGTCTCCTCGCCACCTCCGCTGGGGCAGTCTTCCCTGTGGAGCCAGGCTGAAGGAGAGGTGGAATGGCCTCCTCTGTGCTATATACTGGGGAAGAAGGAGCATGTGGCTGCCCAAGGCAGGGCCCGCGGCGTGTCCGTGTTTGTGTGGGGCAAATGGGGCGATGCTGTGTCAGGTCCTGAGGCCAGCACTGCTCGCCTCCATGCAGGCTGCTGTACTGGTCGGAGGTGGGGAGGCACCCACGGCTCATGGAGGCCACCATGGACGGGAGCCGTCAGCATACACTGCTGGACCGAGGGCTGGGCTGGCCCACCGCTCTGGCCCTCGACCTGCCCACCTGGAGGATCTTCTGGCTGGATGAGAAGCTGGGCAGCCTTGGCTCGGCACACCTGGATGGCACCGGCGTGAAGGTGTGTGCGGGGGGCACTCCAGGCACGGGGTGGTGGGGACATCAGGGCCAGGGCTCACGGCCTGCCCACGCACAGGCGCTGGCGCTGAGCTGGGTGCGGAGCCCCTTTGCGGCGGCTGTGTGCGAGGGAGAGCTGTACTGGTCGGAGAGGAGCGCGTGGGCGGTGCAGCGCGTCGACAAGGCCACGGGCAAGAACAGGACTGTGGTGCTCAAGCGACACGGGCAGCCCCATGGCCTCCAGGTACCTGGGGGTGCCCCACGGCTCACCTGGCACCTGCCATCCCCTGTGTGCAGAGCTGCCTCCTCATCCTTGGGGTCCTTGAGCAGCATCCCCGTGGTCCAGAGTCTGGTGTTACTGGTGTCTCTCCATCTCACCTTAAGCTGGGCCATGCTGGGGCCTGAGGAGGCCTGCGCGGTGCCAGGCAGGCCCAGCCCTTCTGACCCTGTCCCTGCCCGCAGGTGATGCACCCAGTGCTGCGACCGAACTCCTCCAGCCCGTGCGTGGCGCGCGGCTGATCCCACCTGTGCCTGCTGAGCGGCCGGAACAGCGGACAATGTCGCCGGCACG